TTCTTCCCAGGATTCTTAAATGATTTAAATTGCCTTTGCGAAGCTGCTGTTAACTTCACAGGAAGAAGATAGTTATGTGTCTTGTACCTGTGTTTTTGCTCCTGCAGTATGAATTGTAGCTTCAGAGGGGCAATTTAAATTGTTGAAATGACATGGCAGGAAAAGGTTAAATACCCTTTCCCCAGCAACACTTTCCTGATCGTCCAGGTAGCCAGGTGGAACTACTACAGGTGGTGGGAAGGGGAAGGCAGGAAAGATTCTTGCATCCTTTGATTGTGTGACCAGCCCCTTGCCTGCCCTGCTCTTTCCTAGTGTCTTCCTCATGCGCACATTCACTGAAGCTCATTGACTAGTTAAATGGGTGAAGGAAGGAAAGGGCTTACAAAATGTATATAATGGAATTCTGCCTAAATTTTTTTCATTCAGGTGGGGACTTACCTAGGCTTGTTCAGAGTACAGAGATCACACAGCTTCTGTACTTCTTGGGCTCAGGAATCTCCCTGAGATGTGTCCTATGCCCAGCGCAAAGACTGCAAAGTTCACTAGAGCCTTAACAATGAGTCATCAGTTTGTACAACTTGAGTGCTGGTATTCACGTCTTAAAGGAAAACAAATATAACATTTTGAGAACAGTTGAAAATGCATCAGCATTATGAACTTGTAGAGAACTCTTAGCAGTAGTCAAGCTAGTTTTTAAAAAAGATTTCTTTAACAGAACTTCTAAAGTCCCAGTTGATATAAGATCAAGCTAAAGGAAGTTGGTACCTGACTAATTGTTATGCCTGGATGATATCTTGCATATTTCTGATGGCTCCATTAGAACATATTATAAAACAGAGATAAAGATTTTTAAATTATTTAAAATAAATTATTTTAAAAAATGATTATAATTTTAAAATTAGATTCTAAGACAGACTGCTGGGAACATTTTGGAAAGGAGGCTAATGTTCGTGTTAGAAAGGATGATGATGTCATATGCACTACAGAATATTCCCGGATTGTGCCTTTAGAAAATGGTGAGGTAAGTACAGGATAACAGTTATAACAATGAATGCTTATTATTAATTTATTTAAAACCTTTATTAGCCACCTTTCTCCCTTGTGGAATCCAAGGCAGTTTACTTTACAAATAAAACGTTATAAAAAGCACAATAAAAATGACTATTATAAAACCCATAAAAGTCACATAAGAACTGCAGTAATAGTAACAAGCTGAATCAATCAAAATGCAGTCCTTAATAAAACTGTCTTCAGCTGCCTCTTGAAGATCAGCAATGTGAGGTCCAGGCACACCTGAAGATCAACAATCAGGGGTCCAGGCACACCTCCCTGGGGAGGTTGTTCCATATTTGTGGGGCTGCCATTGAAAAGGCCCTCTCTCATGTACCCACCAAACAAGTGTCATTAATTGGTGGTACAGTCAGGAGGGCATCTCCTTGCAATCTTAATTTCCAGGTAGGAACATATGGGAGAAGACAGTACTTTAGATATCCTGGTCCCAGTTCATGTAGGGGTTTAAAGGACAAAACCAGCACCTTGAATTGGGTTTGGGAGCAGCTCAGTAGCCAGTGTAATTGCTGTAGTACTGGGGACATGTGTGCTTGATAGCTGGCCCAGACTAGCAGTAGCTGCAGCTTCCAAACACTCTTCAAGGATAGCCCCAGGTAGAGTGCATTGGAGTAGTCCAGTCTAGATGTACCTAAGGCATGGATCACTGTGGCTAGATCTGACTGACCCAGGAATGGGAACAGTTGATGCACCAGACAGAGTAGGGCAAATGCATTTGGAGCCACAGAAGCTACCTGGTTTTCTAAGGTGACTCCTGTGTCAAGCAGCATTCCCAAGCTGTGAGCTCGGCTTTTCAAGGGGTGTATAACCCTATCCAAGACAGTCAAGATCTGAAGTCCCTGGTCTGCCTTTCTACTAACCCAGAGAACCTCTGTCTTGTCAGGATAAAGTTTCAGCTTGTTCACAGTTAGCGAGCCCATTACTGTCTCCAGGCACTGGTTCAGAACATTAACATAATGCTTGGAATTATGTGCAAAAGTAAGGTAGAGCTGCATATTGGTGACATCGCAGCCCATATCTCTGGTCTAGTAGGGTCACATTGGTCTAGTAGGGTCACATTTCCAGTGTCTAGTTCTTGATAGAGGCCATCAACCAAGGCAACCAAAGTAGTCTCTGGTCCAAATCCTGGCCTGAAGCCAGATTTGAGTACATGCCATGCCATGAAAACGGGCTTGGTGACCTTAATCAGCCACACACTGTCAGCCTAGCCTATCTCAGAGGGTGGTTGTGGAGAGGAGGAGAATTGTGTAAGCTGCATTGCGTCCCATTGGGGAGAAAGCTGGGGTAGAAACAAAGTAAACAAGTAATTGTTGCTCCTCTTAGGTGAGTGAGAAATGGCCGCTCAGAATATTCAGGTTCCTGAATAGGTTTTCTCCCCACCCAAGGATCTTATTTACTTTACTTGTATTTATTTAATTTATTTATAGTCCGTCTTTTTCACTGTGATTTAAGATGGATTACAAAATTTAAAACAATGCAAAGTTTAAAGTTATGTAGTATAAATCTTCAGTTTCTACATTTTTCCCTCAATAGCCAAGGGACTGCTGTAGTGATGAGTTCTGGAATTTGAAGCCTACAGCCCTGGGAACAGAAAGACCTCTTTCCCACTAAACATCCTCCTCCATTCCTTTGCACACCACATGTGCTTATGTTCACTGTCATAGTCACTCACAGCTGTCTTTGCTTTCTTTGAATAGAAAACAGCATTTTCAGTGAGACTTCTTGTACTAATAAATGCGTGTTGGCATGGATTAACGATTTCAGCATGCTCCTAAAAGAGCATAGTTCCAAGAACTGAGTTCTGAGCTACTACAGATTGTTAGTATTGTACAATGAAGTCTTGTTAAAAAGGGCTTTGAAGCATTTTCTTTAATCATCAGAAAAAGAAACCTGCTCCTGCTTAGGGGGGAATTCCAGAATAATCTGTATTTTCTTGCTGTCATAAAGAGCCATTAATCAAAAGGCCTCATTTGCAGTTAGCAGTTAAGTGAAACTGTGATTGTTATTATCACAGAAATAGTTTGGAAGATTAGGCAGCTGCAGCCTTTTGAATATTTGTGGTTTAGCCTTCAATATATAAGTAATTTAATGAAGAAGGATTTGGTTATCCTGATCTGAGTTTATACTGTCAGCCAAATCTGTCAACTTGTACTAATTTTTGGAAATGCTCCTCTCAGTAGAACTATCCCTCATGGAAACACCGCTTGCTGAGAAACGTAGATTTAGGACAATAATTGGGAAGTTGGGATAAACAGAGAAACAGTTGGGCCTATGCAAAAGGGTCAAAGAAACAACTGTAGCCAGTGGCCGCTGCTTCATCTGAGGGTTGGGGAGAGACCACTGATCCTGGGAGTACCTGTCTTCAAGGGTCTGATTTGCTGCCATTGAGAAAGAAAACCCAGTAGTTACTGGAGCAGCAGTAGCATTGGCCCCAGAAAGTCCAGCACCAGAGGGACTAAGAACAGCATAGTTGCTTTGGCAACAGTTCCAGATTTTTTGTTCTGGGCATAGTAATGGCAATAGGCTGCTCCAAAGGAATAACACAAAGAGGGCTCACTACATCAGGAGGACATGTAGGTTAAGGCCAGGGTTTAATGAGGTACTTGGGGCATTGAAATAAGGTGGTGGATGTCTTAAACAGTCCTACAAATATTGTATTTATTTATTTATTTATTTTGAGATTTTTATTCCGCCCTATCCAAAGTAGGCTCAAGGCGGATCACAGGAATCTGAGTCCAAGACTCGTTACATAAAATCACATGAAAATCATTAAAACAATAAACAATAAAAAGTCACACAGGTAGCGACAGTTTCATATAAATCTGTTAGAGCCACAAGATGAAATCAAATGGGCCCTTTCAGCAGATTGGGAACTGAATCAGGGAGGCCAATTAAGGTAGACGCCTACCACCTCACCCGAACACCTGGCGGAACAGCTCCGTTTTGCAGGCCCTGCAGAACAATAGAAGGTCCCGCAGGGCTCTGATCTCCAGTGGGAGCTGATTCCCACCAGGCTGGAGCCAGGGCGGAAAAGCCCTGGCCCTTGTTGAGGCTAAGTGGTTGTCTTTTGGGCCAGGGGTAACCGGTAGGTTTTGGTCCTGTGAGCACAAGGCTCTTCGGGGGACATATGGGAAGAGGCGGTCCTTCAGATATGTCAGTCCCAGGCTGCGTAAGGCTTTGAAGGTTAATACCAACACCTTGAAATGGATCCAGTACTCAATTGGTAGCCAGTGGAAATGGCACAATACCAGCCGAATGTATGCCCGCACAGGTGATGCTGTCAGCAGGCATGCCGCCACATTCTGGACTACCTGAAGTTTCTGGATCAGTCTCAAGGGCAAGCCTGTGTAAAGCAAGTTCAAGCCTGGAAGTGATCATTGCATGGGTCACCGTAGCCAAGTCCTGGGGGGGGAGGGGGGGCAACTGCCTAATCTGCTGGAGGTAGAAAAAGGCAGACCTGGCAACTGCTGTGGCCTGGGCCTCCATAGAAAGTGAGGCATTCAGAATCACTCCCAGGCTCCACACCTTCTGGGCCAGTACAAGTGGTGCATCATCCAGGGTGGGCAGCCCACTCCCCATCCCAATTCCCCCCAACTCAGGTACAGGAGCTCCATCTTCGTTGGATTGAGTTTTAACCAGCTCTGCTGCAACAAACCAGCCACAGCCTCTAGTTCTCCAGTTGGATTCTCTGGGGTAGAGTCTGTGCAGTCACAGAGCTGGGTGTCATCTGCATATTGGTGACACCCAAACTCCTGGACCAACTGGGCGAGGGGGTGCACGTAGATGTTAAACAACACTGGTGAGAGGATTGCTCCCTGCAGTACACCACACTCAAGTGTGTATGCTGCTATGGTATGCTGTTAATTGGTGTTCTTTCCTTTAGGTTAATTGCTCTGATTTTATAGTGGGAGATTTTATGGTAGGACTGAATTGATGGAGTCTGAACTGGCAAAGACCAACCGGGAGAGAAATCCTGGAGTTGTGATAGATAACTCACTGAAAGTGTCAATTCATTATGCAACAGCAATGAAAAAGGCAAATGCCATGCTGGGGATTATTAGGAAGGAAACTGAAAACAAATCAACCAGTATTACATCCTGGAATGTGAAGTTAAATGGGCCTTAGAAAGCATCACTAACAACAAAGCTAGTGGAGGTGATGGTATTGCAGCTGAGCTATTCAAAGTCTTAAAAGATGATGCTGTTAAAGTGCTGCACTCAATTTGCCAGCAAATGTGGAAAACGCAACAGTGGCCACAGGATTGGAAAAGGTCAGTATACATTCCAATCCCAAAGAAGGGCAATGCCAAGGAATGTTCAAACTATCGCACAATTGCACTCATATCACACGCTAGCTAGGTCATGCTCAAGATCCTACAAGCTAGGCTTCAACAGTATGTGGATAGAGAACTACCAGAAGTACAAGCTGGGTTTCGAAGAGTTAGAGGAACTAGAGATCAAATTGCCAACATTCATGTATGGCTGCGAGAGTTGGACTATAAGGAAGGCTGAGCGCCAAAGAATAGATTCTTTTGAACTATGGTGCTGGAGAAGACTCTTGAGAGTCCCTTGGACTGCAAGAAGATCAAATCAGTCAATCCTAAAAGAAATCAACCCTGACTGTTCCCTGGAAGGGCAGATAATGAAACTGAAGCTCAAATACTTTGGCCACCAAATGAGAAGGGAGCACTCACTGGAGAAGACCCTGATGCTGGGAAAGATTGAAGGTCAAAGAAGACGGGGACGGCAAAGGATGAGATGGTTAGACAGTGTCATAGATGCAACGAACATGAAATTGAGCAAACTTCAGAGGATGGTGGAAGACAGGAAGGCCTGGCGTGATCTGGTCCATGGGGTCGCGAAGAGTCAGACTCGACTGTGCGACTGAACAACAACAACAAAATAAATCAGTGGTGTGGCCTCATTTGGAATACTGTGTACAGTTCTGGTCACTGCACCTCAAAAAAGATATTATAGCATTGGAAAAAGTGCAGTAAAGGGCAACTAAAATGATTACTGGGATGGAACACTTTCCCTATGAAGAAAGGTTAAAGAGGTTAGGGCTCTTTAGCTTGGAGAAACGATGACCGAGGGGTGATATGATAGAGGTTTACATACAAAATTATGCATGGTATAGAGAATGTAGAGAAAGAACTACTTTCTCCCTTCTCACAATACAAGAACTTGGAGACACTCAATGAAATTAATGAGCAGTAGGTTTAGAACAGATAAAAGGAAGTACTTCTTCACCCAAAGAGTAATTAACATGTGTAATTCACTGCCACAGGAAGTGGCGGCGGCTACAAGCATAGACAGCTTCAAGAGGAGATTAGATAAGCATATGGAGCAGAGGTCCATAAGTGGGTATTGGCCACAAAGTATAGATGGAACACTATGACTGGGGTAGTGATGTTCTGTATCCATGGTGCTTGGGGGGGGGCAACAGTGGGAGGGCTTCTGGAGTTCTAGCCATGCTGGTGGACCTACTGATGGTACCTGGTTTTTGGCCACAGTGTGATACAGAGTGTTGGGCTGGATGGCCTGATCCAACATGGCTTCTCTTATGTTCTTATGGTGGTTTTTTTGCTGCTGATTTATGATATTTCTTTTGCTTTAATTGATACAAACCACCTCCAGAATTTGTAATTAACAGAAGGATAAAAAATAAATCTGGTTATTAGTTCCCTGTGTACATTCATGTGTATGTACCAATGTATCTAGTAAAGAATGCAGCCACCATGCCTTGCCTAGCAACCCTTGCTCCGTGCTTGTCCAGGAACACCCACTGTATTAAGTAATGGTTGTATAAATGGTGCCAGTGGCCTAACACTGTACAGATCTATATTTTGCTTGGTACTATTTTGTCTATTTTTTAAAAATTGCACATTTTCTCATTCTCTCTAATTAGATTGTGATATCATTGGTTAATGGTCGTCCAGGAGCAAATAATTTCACCCACTCTTCTGCACTTAGAGAATTTACTAAGGCAACAAATATCCGATTACATTTCCTCAGAACCAATACTCTTCTTGGACACTTGATATCTAAAGCTCAACGGGATCCCACAGTGACTCGCAGAGTGAGTAAATGCTCTCAGAGTAGAAATTAGGATTCATGTGAATGAGCAGCAGGCTCATGTGATATTCTACATGATGTGGAACATTGCAAGGCCTTGTTTTGGACATTATTGACAAATAGGGAAGCTCACCAGCTCCCATTTGCTCAATTTTCCTATTTTTCTTCATTTCCATCTCCATTCTGTTTGTCCTGCCTTCCCAATTCTCCCCCCCCCCCAATTTATGTATTTGAATCTCAAAATGAGACTGCTGAGTGTTTCCTAAGTAATCCAGAATGACTGCTGAGATCTTACTAGTTAATCTCATGAGATCTCAGCTATTTTAAACTTGTTTTGTCCCCCCCCCATTTAATCCCCCCGCAGCATCTAGTATAGCTCTAAATGGCTCCATTGTATGGAATTTTAAACTTGGGATGGGGGGAGCATTCATGTGAATTAGCTATATGGTGTAGAAATTCCCTCACAGACACAGCTTTTTGCCTTTCCTGCTCATTGCAAATACAATACCAAATTTGGCTTCTCTTGTTTGTTTGTTTGTTTGTTTGTTTTATTCTACTTATATCCCACCCTATCCCACAAGCGGGCTCAGGGCAGCTCACAACAAAAAAAAAATAAATAGTAAATTCATAAAAAATATTAAATAATCTGTCTAGATAAAATTACTTTAAAACAATCCCTAATGGCAGCTTCCCCCCCCTCTTTTATTGTATATCAGTATTGTTAAGGAAGGATGAGTAGTCTTACTCTCTGTTTAAGTGTACATAGAAATGACTATAAATATTGTCATTTGTGTTGATTTAGTCCAAATAACTTTGTCTGCAATGCATGTGTTGGTGGCAGGGAGTGTTTCTGAGTTAACAAGGTTAAGCTCTCTGTTGAACACCATTCAGTAATGCTTGCAAATGGCTTAAAGCCCAATCCTTTGTATATTTACTCAATATAAATCCACTGTTTGCCTCTAAATAAGCATACGTAGAATTGTAGTATTAGTCTTATGTAAGTCTGAATATTGACAGTGTTATATTGAAAAAACCATTATGAGCAAGGTCAATAATTCAATAATCCAGGAGAATGACTAACAATTTGAGATTTTTTAAAAAATTAAATAAATGAGACAAGACATTATCTTGGCCTGTCCTGATTAGTGCCATAATGCAGAGGGAAAGCTGTCCTTGTTACTGCCACCCTGTGCAATTTTTTTTTTTGCATGATACCAGCTCAGTTGGGCCTTTCCTCTCCTTAACACGTCCCTTCACTTCAACTAGGGCTATTAATTTTTGTCACTACAGAATACCTGTGTACAATTGAGGCACTTTCCTTCTTTTGTCCATAAAAATCTAACATTGAAAAAAAAACAGTTTATAAGCTGAATGCATTGTAGGAGAATATATATCTGGTAGTGGTGGGAAGTGCCATCAAGCAGGGCTACTTTTGGGCAGGAACGCACAGGAACGGTGTTCCGGCTGGCTTCAGAGTTGGCCACACCCACTACAGCCAAAACCTATGTGTGTGTGGCTACAGAGGGGAAGGCCTGGAGAGTGACACCCCCCAGTGACTCAGAGGGGGGCAGGCCTCCCCATGCCTTCCCTGGCCTGTCCAAGGATTGGCTTTCCCAGGTTCCCTGCAGCCGTGGGGTGCCCGGGCAAGCCAAGGGAAGGCATGGGGTGTGGCCTAATATGCTAATGAGTTTCTGCTGTTGGGTATGGCCTATTATGCTAATGAGTTCCTGCCGTCAAGTAACATCCAATTGATAGTGACCCTGTAGGATTTTCAAGGCAAGAGATGTTCAGAGGTGGTTTGCCATTGCCTGCCTCTGCATTGTGGCCTGGAGTTCCTTGGTGGTCTCCCCCATCCAAATACTAACCAGGGCTGATACTGCTTAGTTTCTGAGATCTGACAAGATTGGGCTAGCCTGGGCTGTCCAGGGCAGGGAGAATGTACCTCTAGTCATTAATATAGTATTCCCGGGGGGTAGAATCCATAACCATTGACCGAACATACCAATTAGTTGAGATCCACTCAACTAATTACATTCAAATCTCCTTTCTGCTGTCCAGTATTACTACAGTATAAAAGACATCAGCATTGGTGGACAATGTGCTTGCAATGGACATGCTGATGTCTGTGATTCAAAAAGTGACCAGAGCCCATTCAGGTAAGGAAACTTGCCATGCAATCTAAAGAATTGTGCTTTCAGAACTACTGGTTTGTGGCTGTAAAAATAATAACAATTTCCTAGTTTTCTGGCATGTTACTATTTCTGAGTTGGAAATCAATTGCACTGTGGAAAAGGGAATATTTTGTAATATTTTTTGCTACTATATATTTTTTCTTTTTAAAAATTTGTACATTGAAAACTACTGTGCAAATGGTAAAAAATAACAGTCTTTTTTCCCTTTCGCCCAACAATGTTTATTTTATTCATTTATAAAATTTATACCCCGCCTGTCTGCCCTGATCAGGGCCACCAAGGCGGCTAACAGATTAGAACTATAAATAATAAAAACACATATTAAAAACCATTAAAAGCAAATAAAACACATCATTAAAACACTGAAAAGCAAGCTAAAGTACAGACAGGGTAGGAAGGTAGGATCACTGAGAGAACACCAGCTGAAACACAGAAGTCTTCACTCACTGGCAAAAGACAGCCACGGAAGGGAACAAGCGAGTTCTATCAGGAGGGAGTTCCAGAGTTTGGTGCCGTGAACAAGAAGCCCTTTTCCAGGGGTACCATCCACCTAATCTCAAAGCAAGGACACCTGAAGCAGGGCCTCAGAAGATAATTGTAGTAGTTGGGCAGGTTTGTAAGAGGCAGTTCTTCAGGTATGCTGTTCCCAAGCCATATAGAGCTTTAAAGGTCAACACCAGCAGCTCGAATTGTGCCCAGAAACACATGGTTAGAAGGGCCAAGACTAGAATATCATGCCTACAGCGCACCCCAGTCAACATCCTGTCAGTAGCATTCTGTACCGTTTGAAATTTCCAAACACTTTTCAAAGGCAGCCCTACGCAGAGTGCATTGCACCACATTGGTCAGATCTTTCCTGCTCAGGAAAAGTCACAGCTGGCTGTTATGTATTCAGTTATCATTGTTTGGTATGAGCTTTAGGTCCAGCTCCATAGAAGTGCAGCATTACAGAATACGAGACCGGAGTGGTCAGTGCCACTGATAGGCCAATCCAGAGAGACATTGACTTTCAGCGGAAACAATTCTTATTGGTCCTAAGCACCGTTCTCTGGTTGGTTGTTATCTGTTTAGGGGGTGTGGTTCTCCCTGTTCAAAACGTATAAAGTTAGCTTGTTCTGTGTGTAAGTTGTCCTGTGTTAAGTTAGGAGCTGAATAAAAGAAATCACTTGTTTAAGAGCTGCCTCGACCTCAGTTCATAATACTGGCCAACTAGCTGAAGCTGGCAAAAGGCACTTGTAGCCACATGGCAGGACCCACTGGACCCGAGTGGTGTTGGAGTGGCTCCAGTGTCCAGGCCAAAAGAAAACACAGCCTGGGTGGGGGCAGGCCTATGCCAGCAGCTGCAACAATAAATGGTGGTGAGAAGCCGGCAGGAAAGGGGGAAAGTGTAGTGCAGAAGGTGCAGTTGACAGCTGGGACAGGGTAGGTGGCAGGAGAGCAGAAGTAACAAGCCAGGATCAGGCACAGAAGGAAGCCAGAGGCTGGAGACAGAAGCACTGGTAGGGTGGGAGCAAGGTGGCACCAACGTGGGGACAGATGGAGCTCAGGAGCAGGAGATCTCTAGAGGGCCAGTGTGATGGACAGAGACCTGGAAAGGCTGCAGAAACAGTGGCATTTCAGGCCCTAGGTGCAGGAATGGACAGACGGGTGTGGAGCAACAACCCTTGGGCCGAGGCTGGTGCAACAGGCTTGAGTGAGGTGACACCTAAAGGTCTGTGGGACTGTAGAGTGGGTTTAAGCTGGTGTCATGATTGAGCTGGGTGATGGTGATGAGAACAACTAAATCTGAGGAGAATCCCTAAGGGACTTGACCTGTGTTCCCTCTAAGCTGAGTTAGTGTGAGCTAGCTCACAGCTTTTTTTAGCCTCCGGCTCACACATTTTTGTCTTAGCTCAGGAAGGATGGCTCCGGAGCAAACTAATTTATGCAGTAGCATAGAACAGTAGCCAAATCACCTGCTCACAACTTTAATGCCGGTAGCTCAGAAAGTATAATTTTTGCTCACAGGACTCCAGAGTTTAGAGAGAGCATGGGACTTGACCTATAATTCTGGGTCAGGTACCCAGTCTGAGGGCCCAGTAAATGTAACAGCCCTCCTGGCCACAGCTGGCCCCTGGTGTTGAGACAGGAAACCTAGGTCTCGATTCAGTCCAGGTGGATGCATTGTCTTGAGCTTCATTATCAGTTGCAATTCAGCAGTCTCTCTTCCTAATCTCCCTTCGAAATTCCATTGTAAGAGAACAGCAACTCTTAGGTCAGCAACTAAATGTCCTGGAAAGTTATAATGTTCCCCCATTAGTTTTTGAATGTTGTGGTTTCTAATGTCAGACTTATGTACATTTATTATTTGTCGTAGGGACTGGCCTGATTATTATTGCTGCAGATGGGGGGTTATTGATTTATTTTCTGTGGTTGTTTCTTGCTGCTGTGATTTCTTTTTGCTTTTGGGGGGAGCATTTTTTAGTCTTTGTTTTATCTATATGTGTTGTTGTTAAGTGTTTGGTTATCTTTGTGTTGAAAGGTAAAAAATAAACAAAACAAAATACACAAAATAAATATTTTGTTAAGTAAATAAAAGAAGTTTTCCTGTGCTGGAAAAATGTGTGAAGCTGCACTAATATGTTATAGAAGAACATTCTAGTAAAGTGTAATGCTGAAGAAATACTGGTGCATGCATGGGTTGGTGAACACACTGTGTTCTGGGAACAGTGAAAAAAATGGAAAAAAATAATCAAATAAATAAGAATTGCTTAAATATCCAGGTATCAATGTGTATGTCAGCACAACACTTGTGGGGAAACCTGTGACCACTGCTGTGTTGGATATAACCAGAGAGAATGGCAACCTGCAACAGCCACCAGCACAAATCAGTGTGAACGTAAGTGTATAAAAAGGTTCTAGCTTAACAGTTATGAGGTGTGGTTCATAGTGGATGAAAGAGAAGAGTAAATAAAGTGAATGTTATATGCTTGTTTAACACATAATTCTGAAAGCCTGGATAGAAAAGTACAAAAAGTAAGCAAACCCTGTGTTGAAATATTCCATCTGTGCTTTCAGGGTCACATGTTATCCCTGTGAATTTTAGCTACTTGATCCTGATATAATGACACCTCTTTTCTGGTCTGCTCACCTGATTAGTTAAACAAAAAAGGCTCCTATATAATTTCTCCCACTGAATCCAAAACAGAATTACAGTGCAAGCAATAAGATGACAGTTAATTTGTGTAATCCCTAAATTAAATGAGTGTATAAATTCACGGCAAGTGCATAGGACACAATATACATTTATTTATGGCTTAATTTGTGTCAAAGTAAACCGGAGCTCTGACTTGGAGGTTGTTTAAACAACTTATGGTCCTATCACATGTAAAGTTTTCTTTTTGCACAATCTGATTAGGTTTGGGTGTGTATGTATTAAGTTGTATTTGCTTCGAGAAACAAAATGTATTAATATGCAAGCTGTCCAAGCGTTCAGAATAGATCAGGTCCTCCAGAGGCTGGTTTAAGACACAACAAGACAAGGCACAACCCGTGAGGACCAGGCACTGGATCTTCTTTTGGCTGAAGGTGCTGTTTATATAGCCATTACATTATATATTCAGGGCTATTTTTGGGCAGGAACGCACAGGAACGGAGTTCCGGCTGGCTCCAAAGTTGGCCACACCCAGCAGGAACTCATTAGCATAACAGGCCACACCCAACAGCAGAAACGCATTCGGATTGGCTACTTTAGGGGTGTGTGGCCTAACATGCAAAGGAGTTCCTGCTACAAAAAAAGCCCTGGGTTTTGACCACAAACAAGGTAAACAGAATAAGAAGCAAAAGGTGGGTCTGGCTGGATGACCACACTTCTGGTAACATGGGAATGCGACTTAATATGCTAATGAGCGGTGCACTCGGGTGTGGCTTAATATGCTAATGAGTTTCTGCTGCTGGGTGTGGCCTATTATGCTAATGAGTTCCTGCTGGACTTTTTCTACAAAAAAAGCCCTTTAAGCCCTCCACTGCTGAAAGCAGCTGGCAGGTTTGGCATTTCTTGTAGTGGTCCATGTCCTGCCCTCTCTTATTAGTTTTGTTGTAATATAGAACAGTGTCAAGTACCACTGCGATAAAGCAGGAGAGCGAACAGGCATTTGGGATCAGATAAACTTCATGTGTGCTTCTTAGGTAGCTTCCCTGTGTGCTTGGGAAGTACTAAGATTGTTTAGGTCATTTTATCCATGCATATGTAGATTTTTAAAACTGTATTGCATGTTCTCCAGAAATTTGCACTGATATAATGAAATATAACCTACCATTTCTCCCAGCCTGCAACTGTCACGGGCATGCCAGTGATTGCTATTATAGTCCTGAGGTTGAACAGCGTAAAGAGAGCTTAAGTCTCTCTGGACATTATCAAGGTGGAGGAGTTTGCATCGACTGCCAGGTAAAATACTCTTCTGTTCTTACAGGCTATATATAAATAAGAACTGTGAGTTAGATAAGTAACTGTTTATGATGGATGGTTTCAAGTTTTACCCAAGAAGAATATAAAAGGGCCACACCAGTCACTGGAGATAAAAAATGAGGCCAAGGCCGATAGTGCAAAATCAGGTAAAATATATTTTATTACTCAGTTAAAATTTCCAAAAAATTCACTACACGTTTCACCAAGAGGCTTCATCAGGGGAATCTGTAATAGATAATATATACAATTATACCACTGAATTTACAGGAATAATTGTATAGTTAAGATATATAGTTAAGATATATATATATCTTAACTATACAATTATTATTATACAAATATTACATTAAAAGCCAAAATCCAGGTGATAAAATATCAATCACATACAAAACCACTGGAGCTTATTCTGTCCTTGAGATTCCATGAGGAAAAGAAACTCGCTGTAAACAGAAGAGACAAAAAAACCTAGTCTTTCTCCATAAAAAGATTAAAATTTATCTACATGCATCTACTGTTGAACTAAGAGTATTCCAAGAGGTCTGAGAATAAATAAGGAGCTTGGACTTTTTCAGAATGATAAGGAATTTGTTAAAAAATGGTGCTTAATTTGAACAAATGTTCATTGGAACTTATGATCCTCATCATTCAAAATATGTAACCACACTGTCAGCAAGCTACAATCAACCATTGGTCCACTATCGGACCATCATCATCTGGCCCTGGAAGAAGATCAACGGCGCTAAGTGGAACAGATGGCACTGAGTGGGTATAACAGCACTATCACGCCATCTTTATGGAAATTTATGGAAATTTGAACATCGAGAGCACTTAATAATGATGGAAATTATTGATAGGATTTTAAATGGTTTTAAATGTGTTTTATGCGAGGCTTATGCCTGATTGTGAGCCGCCCTGAGCCCGCGTAGCGGGGAGGGTGGGTTATAAACCGAATTTATAAATAAATAAAATATCTGAGTTACAAGGAGAACAACATGAAAGAAATTTAGATCAGAAACTGGCACAACTAGATAAGGAACTACAAGTTTTTAAGGAGGAATTAGTTTAAATTTTAAAAATCTCAATGGGATAAAATGGATTATGAATACAACAGAATTTATCCATGGATGTTTTAAAGATCCCATAACTCTACAAGGAAGGTATCCTTTGCTGACTCTTCAGATCCTCCAGATGAACAATATAGTTAGTGCCATAGAGCGTAACAATATAACTGGAGATGAGGACAATAGTTCCAGCAACTTTTTTGTATGAGGATACACAACCCCAGGCCATATGGAATATACTATTGATGAAAAGAAAAAAACCAACAGCAAGAAAATACATATTACCAACCGAAGTTGAGATGGAGACCTGATCGAACACTTATAGAACAAGTACTATGGGTCCTTATCTTATGTTCCGACTTCATGTTATGATCCAGTGACCTCACGGTTGGACATTTTCAAACATGTCAGAACCTTGAGATTTAAAAAATTAAAAAAATAAAATAATTTATACTATATCACACTTTATATCTCCTGGGCCCATCCCTCCTGCTATACAAGTGTTTGAGGAAAGACTAATGAGTGATTTAGAAAAACTGGAATGTAATTTAAAATCCGGATGGGCAAATTTGAATAATCAAGAGAAGCTGGCATTATATTTGCAAATGAAAGGCATAGCAATGGGATCCTCAATGGCCCCAGAAGTTGCCAATTTATGAGCGCGATCATACGCACAATTAGACCCGCCATAGGCACAAATGCCAGGCAGATTTAGAGGGTGTGATCAGACAACAACATCTGGGAAGCACCCCGCAGCCATCAGCAACCCGTTCTGCTCTGCCGCAGAAGTGGAGTAAAAAGACACCAGGGAAAATCCGGTAGTAAGTGGGTTGTGACGGGCCACGGATGGACTTTCCTGTGTCTGATTGCTCCAGTGCGCTCTCATGGTGTCGGGATGGTCTGATCAGGCCATCCCGACTCCGTGCCATTGTTCCCAACATGAAATGGATTGAAAATCCAACATGAAATGAATTGATTTGATCAAGGAAGCCATTGCCCTCAGTTTGCAAGACCTGAGCAAGGATGTTAATGATAGAAGGACATAATTAATTCATAGGGTCACCATCAGTCGGAAGCGACTTTATGGCACTTCACATGCACACATTGATTATGGAGCACTTCATACAGCAGGTCAGGATCCAACCAGAATAGGAAATCTAATGTGTAAGTGACCTTGAGTTCCTGGATGAAAGAACAGGAAGTTAAAAATTATAAATAAATAAATAAAATGCCTCCAGATGGCAGGTGTCCTTCTATTTAAGATCTGAAAATCAGAGGAAATGTGCAGATTAACTGCCATTTATTTTTTATCCATGTGTTAAAATGAAAACTAGGTTATGTGTGATATGTAGATGGATATAGTTTTTTTAAACAACTATTTCAAAGAGAAAGAAGGATTCTCTTTCTTTTTCATTTGTTATTACTATTTAGAGCTTCCTCTTTGTGTCTTGCCTATGAAAGGACTTGTTAGCTAATCTTCTTCCTGGAACATAAAAGAGGAAAAGTGACTGGAATCTAAGAAACACTGTCCAGGCAATGATGATGATTGTTCATAACTTGATATTGTAGCAATTAGATTGGGTAAAACTGCTTAGCCATGAAATTTAATTATAGGCTTTCCCAACAGGAGAGGCAGATGAATTGTAGTTCTTTTCCCATTTTTATCATAGAAACTCATTGGGAATTGTATGCATGGATGAAATAATGGAAATTGGGACGTGGTGTACAGCAGAGGTTCGGATCTGACATAAATGTCACTTTGTCAGGCCGGGCCATATGGGCCATAAAACGTAATGCCAGGTATTGGAGATATAAACTGTATAAAGGACAGCAGCTGGTAAGCTCCGAGTTGGTATATCCTCACTGCAAGGCCCCATGGGCTGGGAGGGGGTATAGAGGAAACCCACATGGGTGGACTGGAGAGCCAGCAGTGCAGCACTGGGCAGATGCTCCCACACTACCTGACTGCTCCAGATGAGGTTGTTCCCCGAGCAGTCTTCTGTTCCCTCCCTTGTAAAGAAAAAACATAGCCAGCAATTATAAAAAACCATAAGCCAATTCTGGCCCCTGTGCCTTATGTTTGACACCCCTGGTGTACAGCGATAGTATGATTTGTCATTTTTCAAAGACTATGGCTTGGATGCAACAATACATAAGAAGAAAGGTAAACAGGCTTAGGGCATTTCCACTTTCGCAGGGTCTTGTGCAACACCTAGCGCTTTCCTCTTCATATATTATAGTGCCCAGTGCTGCAAATTGGTTGTGCAAGGTTTTATGCAAGTGGAAACGCAACAAGTTTGACTTTGTGAAAGCCACTACCACGGTCTTTTTCTTGTGTTTTTACTTGCACAAGACCTCTAACACAAGCAGGAATTTTGTGCTGGATCCAGCTTGATGTGTGTCCTGCAGTAAATCACTGGGACACACATTTCATTTTCTTGCAGTAAATGCATTTTTAAAAATGATCTATAGATAGGGTTGCCAGATCCCCTTTTCCCACTGACAGGGGGATGGGGGGGGACATTCCAGGAGTGGGAAGTGATGTGCCCCCCAATTTCCCCAAAACAGTAACATTGCACGCTACATGCCTGCATCACCTGGAAGTGATGTTGTCATGGGTACTAGCTCTGCTGAGGCTGACTACTCCTCCGATGAAGAAGAGGCATGGAGCGACCCAGTCTCCTCTGGAGTCAGCCCAGAAGAGGAACCCTTAACAGCACCTGAGGGAGAAGAGGCCCCAGCAGCTGCACAGGAGTGGCAGACTGCAGCTCTTGCAAAGGCAACATGAGGGGCTGTGAGTCTTGGCAGATTGACTCCCAGGGAAGGGAGGACCTGGTCATAAACACCCCCACGCACCTGCCTCAGGGCAGAAGCAACCATGCTCAGACCTGATCCTGGCTGTTAGCCTCTGCTACTTCTAACTCCTACAACCTTTGACTGATTTCCTGGCTTTCTGACCTTCGGCTCTGTTGCTCGACTTGATTTCAGGCTGTGTATCCAGTTTCCAGTGCATGGTATCCATGGTGACCGGCTGACCCAGCACAGATGTCAGGGGTGATGCTTTTGATTTTGGACAAAACTCTATGGTACAATCGGTATCAAACCATAGAATTTTGCCCAAAGTTCAGAGTGTCACCCCCTGACATCGCCAACATCACTTCTGGGTGATGTAGGCATGTCACGTACGATGTCGCTGTTTGGGGGGATTCCCTCCCGCCAACCAGCTGTCCAGCGGTGGGCAGAAGCCTACAAAATCAAAAGGCAACCATATCTGTAGACAATCACAAAGGTTAAAATACCTCTGCTGTCCAAATAAGTTGGTTTTATGCTTTTTATTTTTAAAAAATACTTATTTTGGGCATTTCCCCCTGTGTTTTGTTTTGCAACCTAGGGGAGTTGTTTAACTGTTTTCAGCACACTGTCCTCATGCAAATGCAGAGAGAGAAAAACGTTCTTTTATTATGTGTATTAAATATAAGGTGGCCAGGAATGAGTCTTTTACTGGAATAACTATTTTATATAAGATTTTATTAATTTTGCCAATAGGACCAGCTAATGTTTGTTGCTGGCACTCTGTCCCTATGTAAATTTCTTATCATTACATGGAAATAGTCCAGGGACAGAAGCCAGGAATTTATTTTTAACTGGTTTAAGCATTTCACTATATATTGATTATTTTATATGTTTTATGGTAATATAATATAGTCCAAGATGACAGTTTTGCAGTATAAGCAGAACTTTATGCACTGCACATCTGCCATATTTGCTTTGCAGTAGTGATGTAGTTTTAAAATTGCTGTATTCACTTAATTTCCTGCCTGGCTGTACTAACAACTGTGTATCTCTAGTTACATTTTAATCTCACTTTAACCTGCCTAGCACAACACAGCTGGTGTAAATTGTGAGAGATGTTCGAAGGGCTATTATCGTCCTTATGGTGTTCCGGTGACAGCGCCAAATGGATGTATACGTAGGTTACTTTCTTTTCAATTTTTTTATTTGATTTTTTTCTTTATTTCAAAGGAGGGAAAAATCTGAAGTTCATTTCCGAAGATGTTACCATATGTAGTTAATGTATTTATAGTCTGTGGGCTTAGAAGGGTGTAACTCTGCTTAGGATGCCCTTGTTGGTGATTGTTTGGTTCAAGATCAGTACACACATAGCAGAAAATATAAGGTTGCTGCTGTCTGGCTTCAAATATCTGCTTAGAAAGCAAATGGCTGAAAAGAACAGCTGCCTTTACTACTGTACCACTGCTAGGAAAACTGCACCTGCCAGTGTATCCCTGTGCACAGGGACCAGAGCACCAGATCCAAGGAACTGAGAATGGAATGGAGTAAGCAGAGTGGGTCTTGGCCACCTTCCCTTTCTTGTGGCAGTTCCTGCAACCTCTGAAAAGTCATTCGTGAGGGGGGCCCTCAGCAATGTTGAGGGATATAGGAAGGAATTGGTGAACATCACTCTCCCCTCTTGTACCACAGCCCTGATCAGAATTGTCCTCTTGCAGCTGCTTTTTAGTGTTAAAAACTTGTCAAGAGATCAGACAATAGATCTCCTCAGGAAACTGAGGTTTGACTCCAGAGTCCAAGATGACAAACAAAATCAACTTTAGAAAAGGTAGCAGCTTGCCATGAGCCTAGGAGACAGAGATGTCAATCATGTAAACAAGCTTAACCTCTGGCAGAGAGTTACTAGTCATTTGTTTAGCATAAGCTGTTGTCAGAAGGAGGACTATATATTAGCATGGCTAACTCACACAGCACTAAAAAGATATGAAATAATATTCCATTTCCAAATTACAGACTTATGTATAATGGAAATTGTTGTAGTTACAATACTAATCTTCAGGAAATAAATTGTGTAGAGGAAAGACTTCATGCTGATGATATTTTATTTAGCTTGCAGTTGTAATCCAGAACATTCTAATGGCTGTGAGGAAGGATCAGGTCACTGCTATTGTAAACCGAATTATCAGGGCAAGCACTGTGACCAGTGTGCTGAAGGATACCATGGTTTTCCTTTCTGTGACCGTGAGTACCAGTGTATCAAACACATCTTTGCATTTGTGTCCTCTGTTTTATTGAATATGCACCTTCATCAATTCATTCTAATTATGGTGCACTAAACTATCAGTAGGAGCTGCGGTGGCTCAAGTGGTTAAGACGCTGAACTGCAGGCTGTGGAAGGTCAGTAGTTCAGCAGTTCGAGACCCGGGTGCCGCAAGACGGAGTGAGCTCCCGTCTCTAGTTCCAGCTGCTGCCAACCTAGCAGTTCGAAAGCAAGAAATTGCAAGTAGATAAATAGGTACCACTTTGGTGGGAAGGTAACAGCGTTCCGTGCACCTTGGTGTTTAGTCATGCCAGCCACATGACCACAGAAACGTCTTCAGACAGCGCTGGCTCTTCGGCTTTGAAACGGAGATGAGCGCCGCAACCTTAGAGTCATATTCGACTGGCTTTCGAGCAAGGGAACCTTTACCTTTACCTTTAAACTATCAGTAAATATTATTATCCCAAGTAAGACAAGTAAGTAAATATTCTGAATTCTGTCATGCATTTTGAATAAGAGCAGCAGTCATTCCTGAAATCTGAGATAAAGCTGGATTTCACAACTGATATCTGTGGTTATCTCTCCATGATTGGTTGAATTGGTGGGGAAGCAGACTTCTATAAGTTCTATTTTTAAATGTCCTCTGAATGAGAGTGCAGGTGTGCTGTCTAGGGGTGAGCACCAAGAAAACATTTTGTAATAACTTTGGATCCAGACTTGGAGGAAGGGGATTTTAACCGTGATAGCCTATTTTTGGGTAAAGCATTTCCAGTTTAAGACTCAAATCTGTGTGGTTTTGGAGTTTGGGACCATTATTCTCAATGAGGAATGTATATGAGGGTTTAGGGGAGTTCATAAAGATGTGATCAACAGGCACAGAACATATTCCTCCCTCTAAACGTTTTTTAAAAACTTTTTTATTAAGAAAAACATTTTGAAACAGCAATACATATCAAGGTGCCACATAAAACCTGTTTGTAGGAGAATATATAACAGTCACAAAATTAGCAAAGTAAACCTAACCCAACTATATTACAATGTACTGAACCTTGCTGTAACTGCGTAACCTCTTAAGTATGATAGCTACATTTAAAATCTTTAAATAAATGAATGATGATAGATCTTGAATAGGATTAAATGAACTCTGCCAATATATGTGGAGTGTCCTGGCTCCTCCCTCTAATCTAAAGACACACCAAGTTTGAAGTGGATGAACAGGGTAAATTTTACAGGCTGCCAGAGTATGAAGTAAAAGGAAAGTGTCTACTTACATTAATATATAAGAAAACACATCTGTAATGTAACCTCCTAATAGATTTTATTCCTCCCCCCTTAAAAGGGACTTCTGTTTATCCTCCTGCTACTCCAAGTCCTGAAGATCCTTCAGCTGGTCATATACTTGGTAGGTCCCCTTCTTTACATTGTTTGTAGTTTATCATTTAATTGCAGTCATAGACACAATCCTGAAAAAACTAGATACTCTGAAGATATGTTTCTATGTTGATAGGGGTTCTTTCTGTGATTTGGTTACCTTTCTGTGTTTGTTTGGGGATGTCCAAGGATGGTGAACTTACATGTAAGCTTTTCGTATTAGGACATGTATTAGAATATGCCCCATTGCTCTGATATAATGTTTGTAATCTGTCACCTAGTGCTTCTTTCATATTGGTTTCAATGCTAAGGGCTAAATTATACAATATATATGTTTACTAGTTGTCTCCAGGTTCACCAATTTGATCAATCATGCATCAGCTCCAAGAATGTTGTTTTAAAAGCCTGAGAAGCTAATTTTGCTAACGACATGTGACATGGGTGGAGGAGGGGGCTCCTACTAGCCCCCAGCCTTTTTCCTGAGTTGAAAGTACCTCTAGTGGGAAGTCATTGGCTCCAATAACGTCTCACTGGGAGTTCTTGAAGCTAAGGAAAAAGGTGGGGGGAGGCAGGAGCCCCCTCCTCCACCCATCCGGCCTATTGTCAGCAAAATCAGCTTCTCAGCCTTTTAAAGCAGTAATCTTGGAACTGACTTATGACTCTGATTAACTAAGGTGCCACTGGACTGAAACGTAGTTCTCACATCTGTTAACTCTTTTATTATCTGTATGTTAATTTGCTGTTATCCACAGCTCTTAACAACTGCTTTAATCCAATCTTAGCTATACTTATCCCAGGGCTATTTTTGGGCAGGAACGCACAGGAACGGAGTTCCGGCTGGCTCCTGAGTTGGCCATGCCCAGCAGGAACTCATTAGCATAATAGGCTGCACCTAATAGCAGAAACTCATTAGGATTGGCTTCATTAGGGTATGTGTGGCCTAACATGCAAAGAAGTTCCTGCTACAAAAAAGCCCAGGGTTTTGACAACAAAGTAAACAGAATAAGAAGCAAAAGGTGGGTGTGGCTGGACGACAACACTTCTGGTAACATGGGGGTGTGGCCTAATATGCTAATGAGTTTCTGTTGTTGGGTGTGGCCTATTATGCTAATGACTTCCTGCTGGGCTTTTTCTACCAAAAAAGCCCTGCTTATTGCTCAGTTACTTATGCATCTTGACTCTAACTAGCCTTTACTGGCAACTACCCCCCCCCCACTATACCTATACGTAGGGCTTGATGAAGTCAGTTTCAATGTATCTGAAGAAGTGTGCATGCACACGGAAGCTTATACCTAGAATTAAACTTTGTTAGTCTTGAAGGTGCCACTGGACTCAGACTTTGTTCTGTTACTTCAGACCAAAACGGCTGCCCACCCAAATCTAACACAGCATTAGCTATAACACAAACAAACACTAATTGAGGAAAGAAACTATTCCTGATAGAGCAGAGCAAACATCTCCAATTCCATAATTTGAGACTGAACTTCTATTCAGACAAGTGATTCAGGAAAGACCAAAAAGCTGATGCACATGAGGGAGGAGCTTCATAAAAATAAATTATTTCAAACATTAGACCATTTCTACCCATGGGAGCTTTAAAACAAACTGCTTCTAGCCCATTTGGAATATAGAAAAAGAGAAATAAACTCACATATAAGCTTGCCCTAAATGCCATTGCAATAGATGGACAAGCACTGTAATCCCATGTACATTTACTTGAAAGTAAATCCAGTTGAATTCAGCAGTACTTGAATCTGGGTAAACATGCAGAGGCCTGTGGATTGTCACATTTAATGATGTTGTTTTGCCCTTGATCGGGCTCCTTGAATTTCAGTTTTTCTTTCTTACCAAGAATGAACAGTATAACACATTGGCCAGTTCATGTTTGTTTTAAAAGTATTCTAGAAATGCCAGTTTAAAAATAAAAGTCATTTTAAAATAGGTGCTCTTCTGCACATTCTCTGCACAGACCTGCAGAGAAAGGTAGCCTTCCCCCCCCCCCCCCCAAGAGCTCTCCCATCACAAGGCTCTTCCAAAAACCAAGGGCTTCTTTACTGCCTAGAAATGAAAACCTTAAATCAGTAACTGGAAATTACTTGCATTTCCCTTAGCAATAGAATTGCTTAAGCTTTCTTCTTTAACAAGTAATATTGTCGCTGCATAGACAGCGCTAGTCTCTCTCTTTTAGTTTGGGTGAGGGTTCCTTTTGCTTGCTTGTGCAATAATGCTGTTGTGTCCTTTTTTCTTTTGTATGCAAAGATGGCTGCAAGCCAGGATTGTTTTGGCTCACATGGGTCATTGCAAGTGATGCAATTTTGCTTTTAGATGCCAAATTCAAATGCTGTACAAATGTCATCCTATGTTTTCAAATCTTCAGTAACATAAAACTCAAGACTATTAAACTCTTCCTTTCAATTTGTACCGCCCAGGTTGTTGGTGCTCTGGCTCTGGCGTATTAGACAGCAGTGATTGTGACAGAAGAACAGGACAATGCAGATGCCGTGTTGGGTTTCAGGGGATTGCCTGTGATCGCTGTGCAGTGGGGTATTTCCATTACCCTTTCTGCCAAAGTAAGCAATCTTTCCATTTAGAGACATCAGCAATCTTGGAGACTTTGTGGAAAACCCGTTAGAAACAAGGCTTGTCTTTTTAACAAGGTGTTAGAGAAGCAGGATCTGAATGCATCCTTCTGCATAGATTGGATCGTGCCATGAAAATATATTGAGAATTAGCACTTCCAAATTGTTGAGCTCTATGGTACAGTTCTCTAAATTATAATTGAGGGGACATATTACACTACAGTTAAAATAAGCGTCTGCCTGTTTGGCTTAATCACCTCCCAGAGCCAGTTTGGTGTAGTGGTTAAGTGCGCGGACTCTAATCTGGGAGAACCGGGTTTGATTCCCCACTCCTCCACTTGCACTTGCTGATGTGACCTTGGGTCAGTCACAAGCTCTGGCACAGCTGTCCTTGAAAAAGAGCAGTTTGTGTCAGAGTTCTCTCAGCCCCACCCACCTCACAGGGTGTCTGTTGTGGGGAGGGGAAGGGAAAGGAGTTTGTAAGCCGCTCTGAGACTCCAAGTGAAGGGCGGGGTATAAATCCAATCTCTTCTTCTTCTTCTTCTTCTCCCCAAATCACCTCTTTGCAAATGCAGAAAAAGCTGCCCTAAGCCCGCTTGTGGGATGGGGCGAGGTAAAAATTGAATAAGTTGTTGTTGTTATTGCAATCCAGCATCCTACCCTCTTTTGCAGTCAGTAACGCTGTGTTTGGGGCTGTGTTTTCTGGACATTGGAGATGTTTCAGAGATTCCACTGTGTTGATCACCTGTAGTGTAGTGTAACAGGGAGCTGTTATGTCCATTGCTTCCTTCCTGCCTTATGATGATGTCACTGCCCATATATTAGCAGAAAGAGGGTGGATTGAGTGCTATCTGAAGGCTTTCTGTTCTTGGGGCATATCCAAAATGATGGATTAATTTTTCATGGTATGGGACACTAAGTAGACAGACCTTCATGATTACAGTAGTCCTCAAAATTTTTAAAACATTTATGAAGCCCTGCTACTGATCTGGGCATTAGCACTGCATTGTCTGCGTATAAAAGAAACGGAATTTTGCATTTGGATAAATATGGGAGATGGAAATCATTCCTCAAAAGGCAAGGTCTGAGATGGTTAATATATAAATTGAACAATGGGGTGCAAGAATGCATCCCTGTTTAATGCCTTTGTCTAAGGAGAGTACCCCAGATAACTGGCCCATTGCCCCACACCTGACCCAGGCAGTTGGGCAACTGTATAGCTGCTGTATTAAATAAAGGAGACGAGATTCAATGCCATACTTCTTCAGCTTTCCCCATAATCAGGGCCTGGATATTGTATCAAATGCTGATTTAAGATCCATAAAGGCAACTGCCAATATACCTTCTCCAGAGCTCTATTTTTATCTACTAGGTATTGGAATGTATGACAGTATCAATTGTACTTGCTTCTTTCCTGAAGCCAGCCTGCTCATTCTCAAGAATATTATTTTCCTCGACCCAGGACCGAAACTTTCCAAAGAGCATTGCTGCATAAAGTTTTCCTATGGTAGACAACAAGCTTATTGGATGATAATTTCTGGGTCCATCAAGTCCCCCTTTTATAAATTGGGACAATTATCACGCTATGCCAAGCTTTGGGTATATTTCCTGTCTTATTTATATTTGTAAAAACTAAGGCCAGAATCTGTGCCCACCAGTTTGGGTCGATTTTAAATAGTTCTGCTGGTATTAGGTCAGGGCTAGGTGCTTTCCCCCTTTTTTGTTGCTTAATCAAGGTCTTAATTTCACTGACCAATACCAGGGGGTATGGTACTCTAGAAGGTTGTAGCATGTCGTTTGGAAACTGTTTTGACTGGAACAGGTAATAGCCATCTCATTTAGGAGTTTATAGTTAAGACTACTATTTCAATTTAAGCTTTAAGTTTTGTTGTAATAGCTTTCATACCATTGTCACCATCTTTGTATACATTTTGTTGTTGTTGTTTTGCAATCTTTTTTCAATGTTTAGATTTTGTGTCAATTTCTGAAGATAAAAATTTAAGCCAATCCATTTTGGGCTGCTTTTTCGCCAGTAGAGTATGACTTGATTCCTGTCAAGTGAAAATGTCCTATGTCCTAGCTTATGAGGACTAGAGATCTCTTCAAGAAAATTGGAGAAATCAAGGGAGCGTTCCGTGCAAAGATTGCCATGATAAAGGACAAAAACGGTAGGGACCTAACAGAAGCAGAAGATATTAGGAAAAGATGGCAAGAATACACAGAAGAACTATACAAGAAAGACCTCGATGTCCTTGACAACCACGACGGTATAATCACTGACCTCGAGCCAGACATCCTGGAATGTGAAGTTAAATGGGCCTTAGAAAGCATTACTAACAACAAAGCTAGTGGAGGTGATGGTATTCCAGCTGAGCTATTCAAAGTCTTAGAAGATGATGCTGTTAAAGTGCTGCACTCCATTTGCCAGCAAATTTGGAAAACGCAACAGTGGCCACAGGATTGGAAAAGATCAGTATACATTCCAATCCCAAAGAAGGGCAATGCCAAGGAATGTTCAAACTATCGCACAATTGCACTCATATCACACGCTAGCAAGGTCATGCTCAAGATCCTACAAGCTAGGCTTCAACAGTACGTGGATAGAGAACTACCAGAAGTACAAGCTGGGTTTCGAAGAGGTAGAGGAACTAGAGATCAAATTGCCAACATTTGCTGGATTATGGAGAAAGCAAGAGAGTACCAGAAAAACATCTACTTCTGCTTCATTGACTATGCTAAAGCCTTTGACTGTGTGGATCACAACAAACTATGGCAGGTCCTTAAAGAGATGGGAGTACCAGACCACCTCACATGTCTCTTGAGAAACCTGTATAAGGGCCAAGAAGCGACAGTTAGAACCGGATATGGAACAACTGATTGGTTCAGCATAGGAAAAGGAGTACGACAAGGATGTATATTGTCACCTTGCTTATTTAATATATATGCAGAGTACATCATGCGAAATGCTGGCCTGGATGAATCACAAGCGGGAATTAAGATTGCTGGGGAAAAGATCAACAACCTCAGATATGCAGACGATACCACTCTAATGGCAGAAAGTGAAGAGGACCTAAAGAGCCTCTTGCTCAGGGTAAAAGAGGAGAGCGCAAAAGTGGGCTTGAAGCTCAACATCAAAAAAACTAAGATCATGGCATCCGGCCCCATCACTCCTTGGCAAATAGAAGGGGAAGTCGTGGAAGTAGTGACAGACTTCACGTTCCTGGGATCCCAGATCACCGCAGACTGTGACAGTAGTCATGAAATTAAAAGACGCCTGCTCCTTGGGAGGAAAGTGATGGCGAACCTAAACAGCATGATAAAAAGTAGAGACATCACCCTGCCAACAAAAGTCCGCATGGTCAAAGCAATGGTATTCCCAGTAGTCATGTATGGCTGTGAGAGTTGGACTATAAGGAAGGCCGAGCGCCGAAGAATAGATTCTTTTGAACTATGGTGCTGGAGGAGACTCTTGAGAGTCCCTTGGACTGCAAGAAGAACAAATCAGTCAATCCTCAAAGAAATCAACCCTGACTGTTCCCTGGAAGGCCAGATAATGAAACTGAAGCTCAAATACTTTGGCCACCAAATGAGAAGGGAGCACTCACTGGAGAAGACCCTGATGCTGGGAAAGATTGAAGGTCAAAGAAGACAGGGACGGCAAAGGATGAGATGGTTGGACAGTGTCATCGATGCAACGAACATGAAACTGAGCAAACTTCAGAGGACAGTGGAAGACAGGAGGGCCTGGCGGGATCTAGTCCATGGGGTCGCGAAGAGTCGGACTCAACTGTGCGACTGAACAACAACAAAGCTTATGAGTATAGTTTATGGTTTTCATTAAATCTTGTGGGTGTTTTCCAGGTTTATAAAAGGCTCCAGCAGTGCGCTAGTTCAGTCTCTTTTGCTGGTGATTCAATCCAGCATTTTGCCACAACATCCAAAATTCTTTTCCGAAGTCACAACTAGTGGTGGATCAACTTTCAGCACTCACTCACTCACCCACAGTGCTATTTTGTGTGTGTGTGTGACTATCCATCCCTGTTCCTTTAATATGTAGTATGCTGAATTTTGTTCAAAGATTGTAACTATGTACAGACAAGGCAGATATCACTACAAACTTGAAAACTCTGTGGGCTGAAAAAATACATTGGGAGTCACCCCCCCCAGTACCACCTATACCTTTAAGAAATGGCTGTTGTGGGGGTTGCTAGGCAACCATAATAGTATTGCCACCCTTCAAGCTTTTGTTTTTATCAGTAAAAAGCAGGAGCATAGGGCAGGGCCCTTTCCAGGGTTGTTCCAGCCTTTGCTGAGAACTCACCAAGCCAGGCCTTGCAGTAACCACTGGGTGACTTGCTACCACTTGACATGCATGACTAAGGCTGCAATCACACACACTAAATAATCCACTTTCAATCCACAGTAAAATCCAGTTGGAAAGTGCATTGAAAATGGATTTAGTGTGTGTGATTTTAGCCTTAGTCTCAGTTGGTTGCTACTGTTCAACAGTAGCCATCCTATAAAAGTCAGTGTTGTGTAGTGGTTAAAGATTCAGACTAGGATCTTGGAGACCCAGCTTTGAATTCCCACTCTCCCATGAAAGTTCATGGAGTGACCTTAGGCCAGTCACTCACTCACCCTATGTCACAGGGTTCTTGTGAGGATAACAAGGAGGAGAGGAGAATGAAGTAAGCTGCTTTGGGTCCCATTGTGGAGAAAGGCAGGAGTGAATAATACATATAGCAATGATGGGAAGAGCAAATAAAAGGTAGGTTGATTGGTGGGGTGCATAGAAAGAAGCAGAGAACAGTGAGTATATGGGGGTTTCCAGGAGGAGGGAAGGGGGAAATGGGAAGGTGATACAGGGAAAGTAAGGCATCTACTGCAAGTCCTTGCAGGTTCCCTACTGGGCCTGGCCCCAGCTGAGACTGCACAACTCAGCCAGCATTTTCCTGGAAAGAGGATGCTAGGGAAGGGAAAGCCGAAAACAA